CCCCCCAGTGACATCAGCCCAGGTGGAACAGGCCTGGATCTGCCCTCTTTGGATTTTCCCTAAGTTTTTTTCCTAAGATGCCAGCTGCGGAATCCCCCCACAACAGTGTGGAGTCTCCCTCTTCTGGGAAGTCTCAGTGACACTCGCCACAAAATTCTCCATCCTGATCCATGGGGGAGGAGCAGGCTGTGTTCCCACCCATCCAGCCCAGGTCCCCCCGCAACACCTGTGCTGACAGGCTGACCTTGCCCAGAAGCCATCCCTCCTCAGCCGTGAGTGGAACCCTGTCGGTCCATTAGGGCCTCCCCGTCTAGCTCCTGAAGCCCTCTGCAGTGGCGCGTGTCTCACAGTGTTTCCTTTGCTGTCACTGTGTCCCCCCCACCGCTGCCAACCAAGGCCCGTGTTCCTGCTCTCCTGGCTCTTGGTACTAGGCAGGGGCTCTCAGAGTGAGCTTGGAGGACAGGCCTGGGGCTGGCACCTCTGTCCTGGAGGGAGGGGTGTCCTTCCAGGCTGCAGAGCAGTGGGCTGGGTGGCCCCCCACAGGCCTGGGTCTGACTACAGGAGGAGCTGGCAGTCAGATCAGTATCCAGCAGGGTCACCACACCGCTTCAGAGTCCACTCTCCTGATCCTTGAACCTCCGCCTGAGCCTTGGGCTGTCAGGCACCAAAGGTTGGAGAGATTGCAGCTGGAATGGAAAGGGTGGGAATGTTTCCTGAAATCGAAAGTATGGGGTCAGGGGAGGAGGGTGGGGCTGGGGGTGGGGCCGGTGGTCAAGGCAGTTGCTGGTGGCTGCCGGCAGCTGGGAAGTCCCAGCTGTTGGTCACTTGCTTTGGCTCCACCAGAGGCCTCACCGCCTGGGCTGGCTCTGAGGGCCCTCCTTGGGCCTTTCCTGGTGGCCCTGCTCTGTCAGGGCCCCGTGTCTCCCTACTCAGCAGGTATGTTCCATGCAGGTGGAGCAGGAGGGCCACGGGGTGCTGTAGTCAGTGGGCGGTGACTCAAGGGACTGAGGACCATTCCAGTTCTATTAGTGGCCTTCCGGGCCAAGGGCTTCCGCTCAGATCCCAGGCCAGAAGACCAGCTAAATTGCAGTGGACACATACACACACACACATGCGGAAAGTAGACAGACAGACACAGACATAAAGACATGTGTGCAGGGGCAGACAGACACACAGACTCAGAGACAACCACTCGCAGAGCCTCTGAGGCACGTACATTCTAGATCAGACACACACACAAGCAGACACAGGCCAACACACAGAGGTGCAGAGCCCCCACACACAGAAGTGTGGACACGCCCTGAGGCTTGCACTCCTATATTAGGTTGCTTATCCGTTTTCCTTGGGTACCTGCTGTGTACTAGCCCCTGAGGGGGTCCTGGGCAAAGGGGAGATGCCCCAGAGCCTGTAACTGTCCCTTAGTCATGGGAGAAGCTATGCCCAGGGCCAGACTCAGAGCAGGAGGTGCTGACCGTGCTCTGGGGTTCAGCTGGTCAAGGAAGGCTTCTTGGAGGAGGAACCACTTGTGCTGAGCCTCGAAGGAGCTGGCGGCTGGAGAAGGTGGTGCAACTGTTGGCAGAGGCAAGAGCCTGGGCAAATATGTGGGGGAGAGGTGAGTGCTTCTGAGTGGTTAGAGGTGGTGAGTGAGAGGGGCCCTGAACGCCCAGCTAAGGAGGAGTCTGTGCTCCTCTGAGAGTGATGGCAGCCCCGAGGGCTTTATGTTTTTGTTGCTATCGAGGGGGAGTCTTTTATGTGCTTTTGTCTAATAGGCTTTTCTGGGGTATATAAGCAGACAATCATCTCTCCTATGAATAATGACAGTTTTATCATGTCCTTCCCAATATTTCTACCTCTTATTTTTCTTGCCTTATTGCCTTATCAGGAATAATAACCATATTATTATTATTGGTTATAGGAGAACACACCTACCTTGTTCCTTATTTTTAGGAGAAGGCTCTTAGCTTGTAAGGAAGGGTTTCAAGGGAGGTTTATGTTTTGGCAAACTCCCCCCCCCNCCCCAACTGCTTGCTCCGAGGAGACAGGATCCAAAGGGTCCAGGAAGGAGTACAGTTAGGACCTGTGATCAGGTGATGGGGGACGGCAGGTGGCAGGTAAGAGGGAGACACAGGCTACCTGGGGTACGGCCCAGGGTGCAAGTAGTCACCTGCTTGAAGTGGCTAGTGTGGAGCTTTCAAGGATGGGGAGATGGCTCAGGCCCAGGGTAAGTGGGGGGATTAGGGGTGCAGTGGGCACAGAGAGATGCCTGGGAAGATGAAGAGGATGGGAGGCCAGGTCTAGGAACAAGGAGTGGAAGCTGAGACTGAAGGTAGGAAGGGGAGGAAGCCCAGCCCTGACTTCTTGGTCATAGGTAGGGTGGCACCAGATGGGAGCTCCCAATGACCACGTCTTCTAGGTGGCATTCCCACCCCTCCTGCTGGCTCTGCAGCTGTGTTGGCCTAACTGGGGAGTGTGGGACCCAGGGCTTAGGCAAGGGCTGGGTATTCTGGGCCTTGAAGTTCAGCTAGTGCTGAGCCCCAGAAACAGAAGCCAGGGCCTCTGGACACTCAGGGCAACGGGGCCAGAGAGCCAGAGAGAGACCCTATGGATGTGGGGAGGCAAGTATGGGGCAGGGGCCAAGGTGGAGTCAGCAGAGAGCCCCCCCCCCCCAG